TATTTTATATACAAAAATATATATATATATATATATATATATATATATATATATATATATGTTTTACAATGTTAACATTTCACTGTATTGATTATCAACTAAAAAACATTTTACACATTGTATCTCAGTGGCACACGAGTAAATCCTCATTACTGTAATCTTAAGGATAACCTCTGAAAGCAACCAGTCATTGAGGTGTCATATGTGAGGCGTTTTTAGAGACCTGTTGATTTTTTCAGGTCGGTTCTCCACAGCACTCCCTTCTGGTTCTTCCCGTAGCCTTTTCTTTTGTCTGCGTTCGCTGCTCCGTGTGCGTGTGGAAATGGGCAAGCCACTAATTTCTACAGTGAGATGAAGAAAGAAAAAAAGAAAAGGCTTTAACACCCACTTAAACTGCCTGAATTGGCAGAAAAGGGTGTTTTATGATAAATTGAACACAAATCCAAACCTTCTGCTACTTTGAGATGTTTGTTGACTACCACCACATCCTCCTGTAAAACCAAAATAAAAACAATTCACTCTACTCAGTAAAGGGTTAACAGATTCTATTCTACATATACAGATATCTCATATTCAGAAAAAAGCACAACAATGAAGCAGGCATGTACAAAACTACATATTTCCCAAATAAACTAGTCTGTGGGTTGTCTGACTAAAGAAGCCTTGCATAATAGGTTCATATCCACCAGAAACTATTCAAATGTGTTTCTTATACTGAAGCTAAACACAAACCTTCAGTTGAGTAACAGATCCTCAAAAAAATTAGGTTGACTAATCTTTTAATGCAAAAAAAACCCCTATCATAGTGCTATAAAAAAACAGAGACACAAATATTACACATAATAAAGGGAAATTACAGTAGCTGTACGCAAGCTAAAATGTGTTTCTGAGAAGTGTCCCTAAATTCATCCCCTTTAGCCCAACTGCTATTAAAGCTAAAAAATAAAAAACACTAAGAAAAACATCTAGATATACTACATAAAGATAGGATCAAATTTACTGTGATGTCCAGGCAGCTCTCCTCAGTCATCTCCACCTCATCAACCGCAACCTCTCTGTTTTTGCTTTCTTCTGCTGCCCATGAGCTGTGGTTGCCTGTATGGAGACGGAAACAACAAATCTAAAATCTAAACTATAAATCAAGTAAAGATGTGAAACTGAGCTGATAGTGTGATGCCTCTTGCAATGAACAATGAGATATACTGGTAAAAGCTGCCATTTTGAGAAGCAAGCAACCCCACAACTGTTAGGAGTTTCAAGAGGGCCAGTGGCAGATATGACCCAGGAAGAGGCACTTACATTGTAGTGTCACGGAGCCAAGTTTGCTTGCCACTTTCACTTTCTGGTAGGGACCTCCAACTCCTTCCACCTCCCACAGCAGGTCCACATCGGCCGAGTATGCGCTCAGGTACTGTCTGCATACTGGAGCATATTTGTTTTAAATTACTCTTTATATACATTTAGTAAAACATATTAAAGAAATGTAGCGCTTTATATTTATTTACAATCTAATTGCATAATATACATAGTAAAAGCAAACAATTAATGAAATGTATACTGCATATGATATATCCACATACAGTGCACAGCATAAATGAGTACACCCCCTCTGAATAAATATAAAATATGTATTTTCTTAACGATCACTAATATAATTGATATAATTCATGGAAAGATCGCAAAATTGAAACATATTAAACATATACTTAATAAAAACAACAAAATATATGCCAATATTTTCTGTAAGATAAGTAAATTAGCCAATTTTGTTTAAATGAAGGATTGCAGAAATGAGTACACCCTAGATTTAATTCAGAGAATTTGTTAAGTTTTAGAGGGGGTGTACTCATTTATGCCGTGCACTGTAAGTTTAAGATACAATATAATTTGAGGATCGTACATTTTTTTTTTTTAAATGTGTTTGGAAGAAGTCTCGTATGCTCACCAAGGCTGCATTTATTTGATTTTTAAAAATACAGAAAAAACAGTAGTACTGTGACATAGATTTAAAAAAAACGTTTAAAACTACATTTAAAACTACACAGCAATGAAGAAGATTTCTGACCCTTTTGCATTGCTGGTGTTAAAGGGTATTTCAAGCCCAGTTCGTCATCTTTAAAGGAGTCCACAAAGTCCTCCAACATCTGCAAGCCATGACCGTTACCACGGTGATCTTTCCGCACAAAAATGGAGTCCAGAACAGGAAGTAGGTAGCACTGGCTCACAAAGCTATTACACAGGCTGCCTGTAAGGGAGAACAAACACAGCAGATGGAAGAAATGTCTGGTGCAAAATCACTGCATGTTACACTGGTTTCCATCTACAATATTATCAAAAATATAGTTTATCTTGAACAGTGACACTTATTTTCACGAACAGTTCAAATTATATTGGATAATAATATTATAATAATTATTAACTAATAGCAGTAATGATGATCATCATCATATCCAATATAATTACCTTCAGAAAATTATAGCGGTTTCACTAAATAATTTTGAGAAGGCAAAATGACATAAAAAGCCAAATTCTTGAGATAAAAATTCAGATTTATGATGTACAAAACAGTCATAAATGTGACATTCGAAACTGAGATACTAAGTCATAATAATGAGATAAAGTCTAAATTATGAGTCATAATTATGATATAAAATGTCTGAATAACAGTCGTAATTACAACATAGCAAGTCATGATTATGAGAGAAGTCATAATTATGACAAAACAAATTCTCATTTTAATGAGGTGCCACTTCTGTTTTCTAATTTTTTATTATAATTATGACTTTTTGTTATAATTGACTACTTCTCTTATGATTAACCGATAATATATCATATATACTAGAGCCCGACCGATATGGGTTTTTTGGGGCCGATACCGATATTAAGGAGTAAAAAAAAAAGGCCGATATTGATATATCGGCCGATATTCTTTGTGTATATTATAGTACAATACCAGTCAAAAGTTTGGACACTTTCCCATTCGTGTGTCCAAACATTTGACTGGTACTATATATATAGAACACCGTATATACATAAACAGAATATATATACATAAACACATTTTTTGCAATGATCACTCAAATGTGGTGATCAAACACTTATAATGATGTGACAAAGATATGTAATGATGGAGGCAGGGCATTACATTTTTAACATTCTAGCAGACACTATACCAACAAAGCACAATTTTACTTAAAATTAATAAGTTAGTAAAATAAACATTTTTGGCCATCAGACCCCCTTCTTGAATCAGGCATGTATTTTTTTTTTAACATTTATGAATGTTGATAAGAGTTCTTGCTTTTTCTCAACTTTTATTTTGGCGGAAACGCGCAGGAAAACCTCAATGCTTACAGTTGCATTACGAGTCTCATTACGAATTCGTCGTACGTATGGCATTGTCACATGCCTTGTAAAAATTCATAAAAATGTGACTGAGCAACTGACGACTGTATCAGCACAGATTTTCCAGCAACAATCACCCCTTCCTCTTCTCACTGAAGACACACAATGCAGTCCTAAACAGTCTCTCGCTGTCGGTGCTTGTAATAATTTTTGCATCTTTCTCCGACAGTTTAAATGCTTCCACACTGCGGTTGCCGAACATTTAGTAGAATGCAGAAGAAGACATTTCAACACATTTCAGCAATAAAAAAAGATACACAAATGTTTGTCTAGAGTAATTTGTGCTTCTTAGTACGGTTGAACTGGATCATCGAAGGTCAGAAGCAAAGACATTGGTTAATAGAATCTGATTTCTCTCAACATGGCGACACCAGAGCTGTCAATCAATAAATTGGGAAAAAAAAGTAACTTGCGTTACTTTTTTGAAAAAGTAACTCGGATATTCTCTTGTAAATTAAAAAGTAATGCGTTACTTTACTAGTTACTTGAAAAAAGTAATCTGATTACGTAACTCAAGTTACTTGTAATGCGTTACCCCCAACACTGGTAACGTGTACGTTTCCTTGGAACTGGAATCATGGTGGAATTTCATGTGAAGTCCACTTCGCAGGGCTCTTACGGTCGAATAAGACAATGCTTGAATGCTGCCTGAACAAGAAACCTCCTTACTGAAGTGAAAGTGTTGACTGGTGTCACTATCTCGCGAACGCACCAGCGGATCTCCACCAAATTCGGGGGATCCCTTCAGCTCGAGCAGCCCTCTCGAACGCCACTCTCGACATGTCGGTAGCCCCCCGGGATCGCTTGATCGGTCGGCGCCGGACCGCGAATTTAACCGCCCGTAACTCCCAAACCCCGGGGGCTATCGACGCGGGGGTGGTCTCATTCGAAAGCAGGCCTCTAGAAGTACACTCGATTCGCGTTTGAGAGGGTTCCTCGAGCTGAAGGGATCCCCCGAATTTGGTGTGGATTCGCCACGCCGTTACGGAGATATGGCCGTTCAAAGTTTCAATGGTTTTCCATAGACTAAGCTTTAAAGTGTTTCATCCAGGTCTGCAGTAGCAAACAATAGAGTGAACTCTGCTGGACAAACTAAGTAATTACATAATTCCAAGCATTTTATCTGCGTTATATGCTCTGTAAAAAAAAAAAAATCATATCGGCAGCATATTCGCCGATACCGATATTTCGGCGACAGGCTCATATCGGCCGATAATATCGGCAAAACGATATATCGGTCGGGCTCTAATATATACTATAATTTACCAAAGCATGATTTTTTTTCTTATGCAGAAATGGGCTTCTATATGTTACAGCTTTCAAGGTCTATCAATCCTTTCTCTGTATAATAATACAAATAATTAAAAACTATTTTTTTTGCCTTTTTGGTCTTTGAATCTATAACATTTTTGCATAAACCAAGTTCTTTATTACTAAGCCACAACATAGAAGCTTGTGAGATTGCCTTCTTATAAACTAGGCAAGGCCTAGTTTCATATCTCACTCATCCTTTAATGAAGACACTGTAGATTATTTAATGAAGTAAACTTACTCATACATTGGGCAGAATGAGCAATGCATCTACAGCACTGCCAGACTCTCCAAGGAGAAGGACTGACCTTTAGATTTGACAGAGTAGAAGCCCACCGCCTCTCCATTCTTCCAGAGGATTTTGGCAAAGACGTCTTCTCCGTGGCACAGGAACGGCACCTCATTAGAACCCATTTCCACCGTCCGGTAAATGATGCGGTTTAGCACATACAAGACAATCCTCTCGCCCACAGATCTTACCTGCCCAAATACAATTATTCACAAAAGAGTTTAAATTGTGTTTTATAAATTGCATCTGAAGTTTCACTGGGAAATCGAGTTATGTTTTGATTAAAAATTACAGGTTAAAAAAGAAAAAAAGATTTAGAAAATAAATAGGGTAAATCTTAATTTCATGCCAAAATTAAACAGGTGTACAACATAATGCAACAGTCATGTTATAAAGATGATATTCCTGCAGAGGAAATCCAGACTGGATAACACAGGATATTACAACATATGGAGTGTGTTATGCTCCACAATACAGTGAGTGGAATGAGCAAATGCAAGCATAAAGAAAATGTGGGTGCATTGTGTATTTTTAAGTGAGTGAGTAGAAGAATGCCAGTGTACATTTAAAAATATTTCTAAATATTTTCTAACGCAAGCCTATGTAAGCAAAGCGTGGAGCCTGAGACAAAAACACCTCTCACTGATCAGCCACAAACTACTGCCTGTTTGCAATTATTTGTTTGGCCAAACCACTACATTTCACTGCTCAAACCTTGCTTTTGTTTCCTCCCTCTCTCTCTCTCTAATTAAACATTCACACATATACTAAAAAAAAAAAAAGTCATTGGTTACTGCTGAAGGTCACATGACAAACCCAAGCTCCCAATTACGAGACAGCATTTTCCATTCGGGCATTTACCAACACACACGCATTAACACTCAAGCTCAAACATGAACACGCCTCACACACAAACACATCTCACCTTATTTTACAGCGTACAAGTGCATGATAAAACAGAATATTACACCGAATATTCACTAAATGAAACATGTGCTTCCAAGAGATCAGAACAGTCTTTAGGGAAAGCGAGAGTCGCAAACGCATGCACACACCCCTCACATGCTTTCATAAAAACAATAGGCCACTCATAGCTCGCGACTCAGGCCTGGCCGCTATAACAACATCATCTAAACGTCCCGCTGTTTTCTGCCCAGTAAACGTGCTCCCCTCTCCCCAACCTTCATATATATATATATATATATATATATATATATATATATAAAAAGATCATCGTAGGAGTGCTTGAGAACATTTGCAAGTCCTTAACAAGGCATCGAAGAAAATGCCAGATTTCTGCTTTTTAATGACTTGGCAAAGAAGTGACATTCTGAATAGACACTGTTCAAAGTACAAAAATGTGTCTGAATAATTTCATTAAAAAGTTCAATGCCTAAGCTTTCCAAAAAAAACGAAAGATTACCTTTACAAGGCCTTCTCTTGCAGGATTTGACGTTCTGAGAATATCTTCCACTGCGTACCACTGATCAGCCAAGAACAATGCCACAGCTAGAATAAAAAAGGGAGGCAAAGCAGAATAAAGGTAAATAAGATGCTAAAGAAATTCAAATGTGACTTTCCTAGAAGTTTATCCATGATGTTATTATCATAAAATCCATTCATGATGTTATTGTGATAGGTAAAAGGGGCAGGAAAGCGGGCTACCTGTGAACTGGTCCTCAGGAGCAAACAGAGCCAGGACTTTGTGTTTGAGATTGGCTCCATAAAGAGGAACAAACCCAACATTGGCAGGACTGATCCGGACCTAAAAGAGCCAGAACAGGATTCTTAAAGGAATATTCCAGGCTACAATTTAATTGTTGGTTAGGCACAATGGAAGTGAATGGAGTCAGTTTTTAAAGGGTTTAAATGCAAAAAAAAAAGAAAAGATTTTAAAAAGCACTTACATATTTTTTTAGTAAAACCTAGATTCTTCAGTGTATAATTTGAGCTGTAACATTGTTCTCAACACATTATGGTCATTTTAGGAGATACATTACATATGCCAAATTATAAAATTGGATAGGCCTATAACTTTGCACAGAAAAGTTTATTTTTCAGTATGGTCTGATATTCTCCACATTATCTGAGCTCTGTTCTCTGTTGTGTGTATGTGTGTGTGTGTGTGTGTGTGTGTGTGTACGTGTTCATGCTACATTGTGGGGACCACAGGTTGGGTTAGGGCAGGGCTGTCCAACCTCGGTCCTGCAGAGTTTAGCTCCAACTTGCCTCAACACACCTGACTGGAAGTTTCTATGCCTAGTAAGAGCTTGATTAGCTGGTTCAGGTGTGTTTAATTAGGGTTGGAGCTAAACTCTGCAGGACACCGGCCCTCCAGGACCGAGTTTGGACAGCCCTGGGTTAGGGGATTAAAAAAAAAAAAAAAGTCCCCACAATTCACAGAAACAAATGTGTGTGTGTGTGTGTGTTACCTTTCTCATGCTGGGCAGGGTAAGGTATTTTGTGTTATCTGGGTTGCTGTAGAGCAGTTTGTTCATGTAGCTCTGGACTGAACTTTCCAAGTCCTCATGTCTGCCAGACACCAATACATCTACAGGGAACTCCATCCCTGCAGTGGTCAGAGGTCACAAAAATGACAACTTCAGTGCTCTGTCATAAGAATTCAATTGTTTGTTTGTTTTTAATCATTTACTCTGTCAAATTTGACCAGAATTCATTCATGACTAATTTCTTTCAAAATGCTTTTTACATGCAAGCAAATTAACATACTGATGAGTGAGAAACGCAAAAAGCAAATTCCTTGCTAATGTTTGTTTTATTTAAAGCAACAGCAACAATTTATCAGAAAAAAAAAATGTTAAACTAGCTTGCTATTGCCTCTTACGTCATCTTTGCATGACCAAATATCTTTTTAATATCATCAGCATCTGAAACAAAACAACCCTCACATGCTTCCATTTCATATGAAAATGGTCTTTTCACAATTGAGCTTCCAGATTGTTGAGTAGTTACTACTCAACAACAAAATGTCATTTTTTACTTGTGATAACTGTATAAAACCCCCTATTGTCAAAATCTTTTTTATATTTGGTTTCTTCAAATCCTTCTTTGGGTCATTCAGCATCATTGTTCCATGGGGTTGTACAGATACTTCAGAATATCGTCACCCAAAGGGATAGTTCACCCAAAAATGAAAATTCTATAATTAATTATTAATTAAATACCCTCATGTAAAACCTGCAAACCTGTAAAATCTTCGTTCATCTTTGGAACACAAATTAAAGGGGTCATATGACGTAGCTAAAAAGAACATTATGTTGTGTATTTGGTGTAATTCAATGTGTTTATGCGGTTTAAGGTAAAAAAAAACATTATTTTCTACATAATGTACATTATTGTTGCTCCTCTATGCCCCGCCTTTCTAAAACGCGTCGATTTTTACAAAGCTCATCATTCTGAAAAGTGAGGTGTACGCTGATTGGCCAGCTATCCAGTGCATTGTGATTGGCTGAATACCTCAAGCGTGTGACGGAAATGTTACGCCCCTTACCATACTGTGATGCCCTGTGTCCCGGCGCGACAAGACAAAAACAATAAAACCCATTACGGCGGCTGGAGTGAGCGGCGGCCGGCGGGCTGGCTTGCGGCAACCACATGTGACGACCCCGGCTGGACTCTGCTTCGTCCACGGTGAAAGCCGATCCGGCGATTCACAGCGCGAAGTTGATGTATTCCCTCAGCGACCAGCACGGATCAGCTCCAGGCATGACGAAGCGGATA